TTTTCTAAATGCCATTAACCTTTACATTGTAGTATTCACCAAGACTAAAAGGTACAATTAGAATATCTTGAAAAGTGAATCATAATTTACTAAAAAGAATTGGTGGACACAAAAAGGGCAGGAAAATATAGAAAACAGGAAGCAAACTTTTGCAATGGGTAACAACTAAAGAAAATATAATAAGCAGAAACCTTAATTTAATTATTCAATCCTTAGATTACTACGAGATAACTATTTTTTTTTTCTCTTATACTTTTCTTACTATTACATCTGCTTCCAATTTGAGTCACTTTGGACCAGAACTGGAAGCAGAACTATGAAGGAAAAAAAAAACATTCTTCTGTATTTCTCAGCATCTGCCTTTGAAAGACATGCCCAGGCCTCAGAGGGTTTGCTAAATGCACATTTTGGAGATCGTTTTTTTGGAAAGAAACTTCTGGATGCTTGTGAAACTTACCCGTACTTAGGAAATGTGTAAAACGTGGGAGACAATGGAAACCAGAAATAGGAAAAGTCTCAGACTTCATAGAAGATGTAAACAGTTTACAGGAATGCGCATCAGAAAGCACAGAATAAACCCCATCTCTCTTCTTTTCCCTTCTGCAAATAGTTGTCAAATATGCTCTGTGGTAAGAACATTGCTGCAACCATTTCTGTTGGTGCCTGAATGCTGGCAAAAGTCCAAATTAAAATTATTTGCAAGCCTGTGCGCTAGGCGTCCAATTACGAGAATGATCTACATCTTACTGGCATACAGAAGCAATGTTATGCGACTGCAAGCTCCCTCAAAACAACTCAATTTCTGACTATTGACTGTAATAAAGTGCTTATGAGTAAGGCATACATAAAAATTCCTCAGAAATACAGTATGCAATATGCAATAATAAGGAAGATAAAGAAAATCTTTCATTGCTTACAGTTAAGTACAAAGAAATAGTGCTGCAATTTCAGGGACGAATGATATATTAGTAACAATACGGTTACTTTGGGCAGAAATGGGTCAAACCAGAGCAGTCCACCCCGAAAGAGTAGCAGGAGGAAAGGCTTTCACCTTGGCATCCTGCTTTATTTCTGCCACACCTTCGTGGCAATTCCCTGGTTCATTACTTGTATAAAATAATTCAGTAAACACTAGCCAGGTTACAGGGCATACATAATGGCAGCTCTTCTCTTTTATTAGACTCTCATCTCTGCAGTAACTGTATAAGGGGCTGGGATGCAGCGCTTTTTATCCAGCTCTGCTACCAGTTTATCAGCAGCTCAGTATTTAAGTACTTCCATCTCTGAAATACAAACTATTGGCTCTGATCTACCAAGAAAGTTATCTTGGTTTTATGCCAATACAGCATTAAAAAAAGATGCAATTCATTAATCTACTAAACAGAGCAAGGCAAACTTCAGCAAGATGGTACATGATTTGTACAACACATGGCACATTACTGATGACACACTCACTCACAAGAAGATGGCTCACAGAACCTTCAGGGACATTTACTCTCTATTTATTTGGGGTGAGTTCTGTAGAGATGAGGGCTTCTAACAGTTAGGCAGGCCATGACTTTGCCAGTTACTCCAGCCAGGTTCTATCTGCCAATTGCTGCTGTATCATCAGGCACAATTTTACCTCTACCTTCTCCTACTGTAAATGACTGGAGAGGATGCAAGCAAAACCAAATCAAACCAACCAACAAAAATAAAAAAACCAACAACAGCTAAGTTATGGTATCCATCACCTCTGGCTTGCTTCACCACTTCAGTGAGCTGAGTAGTTGTACTCAAAAGAGGAAAAACTCTTCCAGCATGAGCATGGGTTCTGTGGAAGAGCATTCCTGAAATTCCCGAAATCCTCCTTTCAACAAAGGTGTTTTGAACTATCAACAATTTCTTATGAACGTATGGCCACTCTGCTTGGTGCTGTTCTGCCTAATTCCAACATTTCTGCAAATCAATGGCTTTCCCCTCTCATCAAGCCTGGTGATAAAAGTTGGGGTATTCTACTCTTCTAACTCAGAAGCATCAGGCAGGACAGAATTAATTTTTTTCTTGATTCTCCCAAAGACTTTCTTCAAAAAGGGATCCATGTCACCAGTAAAATCTCCTTCAAAGGGTCCTGTCAAGATATCTGGAATAATTTAAAATCTCATTTGTTACTCCTTGTCGTGCATATCCCTTTGAAGCAAGAAGCTGAAGTCTATTTATATTAGTACTTCATCTCCTCCACCAGGCACAACATGTCAAGGAAAATGCCTTTCCAACATAGCACGTACTAAAAGAGCATGAAGCTGAGTTTTGAGATTTGCTGTGTTGCTAATATACCTGTTTTGGAATGCAAATGTATACATGGCACAAAATATATCAACTTGTAGGATGATGAACACAGTTAGTAAACTGAACAGCCCAGTGCACTATGTTACTACAGGGGTCTTAACTAGTAGGCCAGGTAACAAAGAATCAAGAAGAATAAAGTGTATCATGATAGGACATGGTAACAACAAAGAGACACACAAGTTTAAAAATGAATCACACGGAAGAAACTTAAAAGAACATCCATATGTGTTAGTGCAGATTTGATTATTTTGGGCCCATGATTGCTCCTGATTGTACCGTGTAGAACCTCTCATGGTACAGCCTTACATTCAGTATTCTACAAGCCAAATAAGACAAGATGGCTCAACATCCTGCAAAAGGAGGACAGCAATAAAAACCTGGAGGGTAATAGTTCCATTGAAGGAGTAATACACACTGCTTTCACACTGCGAGACAAATGATAGGCAGTTTCTGAACATTTTTTGTTTTGATTGTGTGATTGTAAACTGGTAGAAGTAGGAAGGAGAATTCCTCATTGAAATGGGCCGCTTTGTTTTAAGCAGCTTTCAAATGGAGACACTGCTGTTCTAAGACTCAATTGGACAATCCAGACAAAATGAAAGAGTCTGGACTTTTTTTCCCCTTCTTTTCTTCTTCCTCATGTTGAATAAAACCTTAGATAAGATCAATAGTTCCTTTAGTTTTATGTTTCTCTTCCTTAAGGGTAGATGGCTTATTGCATTTCCATTGATCACACAGACAGAGAGATTCAACAGAGACAAGTCATCTTTTCTTTTGCTCTCATTTCTGCCCTCCCCCGTACCCACTGGAAATCAAACGACTTTTAATCGAGGCTGGGGTCACAACTGTTTCTCATTTACATATCACTAGTAACAAATTCATACCTTATTTTCCACTCACTAAAATGCTTTAGAAATGAAAGTCACATTTCTATCCAAGATATGAACACACTGTGCCTTCGAAAAACTTTAGGAACTTCTTTTCTGGACTTTCTATCAGACAGGCTGCCTGTTGGTTTAACTCAGCCCTCCTACAACACTGCTCTGTGGTGAGAGGAGGCTCACCTGAAGCTCTATGCATTTAGCACTTAAGCCTCTTGCAGTCTTTTTAAAGCTTTCTTGTTTTTCCTAAATTCTTTGCAAACTCCCTATCAGATATGGGCAACTCCAAGCACAAGAAGTTTGTATCTCAGTTTACAGCCAGCAAAGCAGCTGCATTCACCATTACTTTCACCATTTTCAAGCAGGAAGAAAGATCAGGATCCAGAACTGCTATCAACACTATCAGAAGTCTGACCACCAGCTTACTAAGTGGTGGTGGACTTGGGAGACTGTTGCATAAAACATTTTAAATCTGCTGGCACACACTTAAGCAAATTTGGTTTGAAGATACTAAAGGAAGTAGAGAGCAAATCATTAGACATTGATAAAAACTGATGTCCAACTGCTTTTAGATGTTACTCTGATTATCTAGGAAATGAGTTAAATTCTCCATGGAGATCACTAGGAGTTTTACCATTGATATTAGTCAAGGTAGAATTTTCCCCCACTGTCTATAGGTTTAAAATCCTGCCACAACCTGTGGTGCCTATTAAAAATCCATGAGCACTTCTCAGAGTAGGGAGCACTAAGTGTAATGCTCAGGGCAGTTATACTTTCTTTCTTTAAACTGTCTTCAGATATTTCTTCTGCCTTTTCTATCTTGGAAATAATGTGTTGAGCACTGTTAAAACAGTAGTCAAGAACTTGCTGGCTACATTCTATGGAAAATAAAAGGATAGTATAGAGCTTGAAAAGAACAATAATTTGAATGTCTTATTGTTATTTGTAATAAAGGCTCTTTCCTTAAGGGTCTTTTCGGATCCTTAACCACATATTAATGCTCTACAGATGAGGATTGCTCCCTTGTGGGAGAAATAAGGTGGAGCATGGAATCCCTTCCAAGAAAGCAACAGATTTGGGAAAGGAACAAAAAGAATTCACCATTTGAGTAAGTGGAGAATTAAGAACAGATAAACACAATTACCAGAGTTCAGATTGTGTACTTCAGAAGTGCCAAGAGGCTCCTGTCTCAGATGCACTCACACAGCATAAGTGCAGTCCTTCCCACAATATCTAGAACCTCATTTGGTAACAAATTGGTCCATCTAGTTCATAGTCAAAGCCATGGCCTGAGCTCACAGATCAGCTACCTTTGGCTGATAGTAACAGGAAATTCCAAGTGCAAAATTCTCAGTGCAGGCTCCTAAGTTTAGCCAAGCAAATGCTCAGATTGACTGCAACAGAAAGTGTATGACTCCTGATATTCATGTTAATTACCTTAGACTTACCTTAGACTGTGAATACCATTAGACATAAATACTCCGCATCATCTCAAAAACATTCCTTCCTTCAGCTCAATGCTTTTGGCATTAGACTGGAATTTCTTTTTACTTCAGCGTCAAATGAAACCTCATAGCAAGGAATCCACTTCCTTGGCATGGAAGATTAAAGGAGAGAGGGATCATGGAAAGATTTAGCTGAGAAGAAACCCAGAAGGCACAGCTACACTCGTACACAAGGAAGCTGGCAATATCAAACAGCAAGAAAACAGCACTCTCTCTTTATTCCTCCAAGCTCACGAGGCATGCATTAGAAGGAGGGTGGATGTAGTTCTTTGGAAGATGTTCTTACTTTGTAGAGGCCGTGGCTGCAGCCGCAGTACGTGCTCTCCATGGTGTAGCTCCTCAGCACACCCATTTCCTGCCACACCACCACCCGGGCCGTCGACTTGCGGGACTTTTCTACAAGGAAGCTGCAGCTGTTCATGACAAACGCAGGGGCCACTTTGTCCAGGATTTTAGGGAGAGTCTATGAGAAAGTATCAGCAATTAGAAAATGAATTGAACAGATGCACGTGCATTTGTATCACCCACACATCTACAGAGACCTATGCTTTCTAAAGTGCGTATCACCAAATCTATCTGTAGAAACTGTCACTGTGATGTTCCAACTAGTGCCAAACTGGACTCATCTTCATCCCAAGTGAAATCTTCACATTCCAATGTTTGTGTTTTTTTTTTCCCCAGTCACAGACAAAAATGCTAGAAGTACATTTGGTACATCCCATCCAAAATGAAGTATCTGCACACCAAATAGTTTTGGACTGCTGAAGTCACTTACAAAGTTTTACTTTCAAGCTGCTTCAACATTAACTACATTTCCCTGTTCTGCCTAGCGGGTTGCAGTCATAGCTTTGCACACAATGTTTCCATTCTCTCCTTTCCAGCTCCTCCCATTATGCATTCATAATTTGACAAGGGATTCAGCTACAGGAAGAATTTTGTTTGAACAAAGCACATAGCAGAGAAAGGGAACGTGTAATCCCACTGAAGGTCACAGATAATTATAGGAAAATAGAGCTTAACATTTAACTATCTTGCATTGTGAAATAAACCAAAATATTCTCATCTGGGATCACATGGTACATTGGATACACTCCACATAGAAAATGACAATAAAGAGTAAATATGAAAATTCAGTAAAATTATCTCTTAGCTCTGAGTAATTTTCTTATTCTAGACATCATTTTTCTCAACAACAGCCTATAAAAACTGCTAATACACTGTGCTATCAAATATTTCTATCAGTGTGGATGCAACACTTCTTCACGCTACCTGTAAAAACATATTCTAGATACATTAACACTAGGTGTGCTGTGTAGAAATTGGGCTTTTACATACATATGCACATACATGCATATAAATGGTAGTACTTCCATGCTGCCCAAAGACCATCTGGTCCATCAAGTGAAGAGCAAGCAAAATAAGAACTTTCATTATTTCTTTAATGACAGCTTTCTTAAACTTCTGAATAGAATGGAATCATCCAGAAGGAGCTTCTGCTCATTGCTAATGGCATTTACCCTCGAATTTCATTCAGTTTGGGTGGTGAAAGCCAACCAGCTAATTTCACTTTCCAATAACAATCAGTGAAACTGATTGATTCTAAGCAATTCTAGTTCCACTCTGTTGAGCTTTACGTCATCGCTCTGTACAGGAATACATGGTTTCATCAAAATTGAAAAAGTAATGTTTAATAGCAGGTCTTCTCTTAAAGCATGACTGATGCAGATGATAAATCTTTGGCCTAAACTATTCTGCCATATCCACTGCAAACATCTTAATCATACATACCTCTGTAATAAAGTAAATGTTATTTCCAGTATATCCTATCTACAGCTGTGAACGGACCCTACCAGTTCTGTAAGGTGCAGATCTATAGATCCATAAGATCCATTCATCAGATGAAGAAACTGATGAATAGGAACAAAGTGAGAGGTTACATTTCAAAGCTGAGACCAGCATGAGCCTAACTCTTAAGATCTGCACTGTGCTATTAAGAGCTACAGCATTCCTTTTCTTGTGAGAATACTGAACAGAGGAATCTTTAAAATTGATTACTTGCTCTGGACTAAACATTCACTGCTTCTGAATTGCCTCCAAAGTACAATTTGCTGCAAAATATTACAATTCCATGCAGCACTTCCTGGTTTTCCTGGAGCCAGGTTAAAAATACAGCACAGTCACCCAAACAATTATAATCCTGAGCACAATCATTAGATCCAGTTAAACCGTGCGTGAAGGCCCAGATAGTTTTCATTCTGCCCTTATCTGAAGCAGCACACAGATTTTTGTAAATATGAAATACCATAATCAGATCCCTAATCCAGTTTAGTCTTTAAAAACAATTGAAATTATATGCATAATCAATCTTTTACATTTGATTAAATAGAAACGCTGGCAGGTAACAGTAATGTCTCTGTAGTCAGGACTCATTTAGAAGCATTAGCAAATCTGAATTTAATATTCTTTTCATTTCACCAGCTTTCACTGGATTTCACACTAATAGTTCTTTCTTCTCTGCTTTTCTCATTAATTATCTTTCAATTGTATTTTTGGGATGGTGCAAACACATCTTTTCAAAGGATTCTTTTATGACAATACATTAGTATAACTGCACGCCCTGTCTCTCACGCAGCTAGATTTAGCATGCACAACAGCAGGGGTGCTGCTCCTCATACAGGACCCCTGTCCATAAACCTCCATTCCCATTTGGTCAGAATGGAATTAGGATTCTTTACTGATGCCCCTTCAGAGATTGCTGTTCAAGGGCCTGGAACGGCGATTAAAAGGAGAAATCCTGAGGCTGGGTTTTGCGATGCCAATGCTATGCAAGTCATCTGAGGCCAAATACTAGAAGGTAACAATGACTCTTTCTCTCATGAATGGTCAAGGGCTACAGCAAAGGCTATTCAAAAATCACAATTTTCTCAAGGTACTGCGTTCACGTTTTTGGGAAGTAAATCCATCATGGAGGCCAGGATCATCCCCAATTACTCATGGGAGGAAAGACAGAAACTTCCCATATTGTGCAAAAGGGAGAATTCTAATCACAAAATCTTTCATCTAGGCCACTGCAGATTCTTGGACACCCTTGGAGACTTGCTCTTGGTTTCTTCATTGCAGATTCAAGACAGGCACCAGATGCTGAAAGCAGCATTTGAATTCTGTTTGTGTAACAGTGAGCTATCCTCAGCCTTTTCCAGCTCTCTGAATTCAAATACAACACGCGATGTTCTGATTGTAAGCCCCCTACCTGCTTTCCTTGTGAAACAAGTGTTTCCACAAGGACTTCTCATGAGTTGTGGATGAGAGAAGCACACGTATACTTGGAACTTACAAAACGCAAAAATACAACATCCCTATTAGTCAGTGGCTGAAGACAGTAAAAGAGCATCTTAATAAAACGAAATAGAGATCCATCTATTGACAATATTATTGCTGATAGCTGGTGCATGAAGATACCAGGAATTATTTGAATTTTTCTGCATCTCTACTCCTCTGGAGAAAGAGAAGTTTGCACATACCTACAGAACTTGTGATCTGACCTCATCTTAAGGAGAGGTGTAGGTGTACATATATGCCAGCAACTGCAGAAAGGAACAAAGTGGACCTACCCTGTAGCCAACATCTTCTGTGATAACTGCTGTGTCAACCGTGCAGCCTGCTTGCCACAAAGTCTCCTTGATGCTGCAACCATAGAGGAACACATTCTTTTTCTGGGAGTGGCCATGGTAGTCACAGAATACCTAGAGAGGAAAAAAAGGGAAAATCTTGAATACTGAAGTAAATTTCCTGGTTCTTCACAACAGACGCTATAAACACTATATGTGAAGAATTCTTTTCAGTTCTCTTCAGAAAAACTTAGTGCTCTGGGCCCAGCCTATAATCAGTGTCAAACTTTGTTAGTCAGCTGTACCTTGCTTTATCTATTGGATCTGACATGATCTCATGAATCCAGTGTCAACACCAGTGCATTTCTGTCTACAGCAGAAATAAACATGACACCTGTGCAAGATTCCATGCCAACTCAGGAACCTGAGAGTTCATGGTAACTTATGATACAACACAGCAATTTGTCAGGCTCCTCTGACTTCTCAACTCCAGCATTATCTTCAGCAGATTTAAAAACTGCACCTTTCCCCAGTAATTAACCATCTTGGCTTCTTTAAATTCAAAAACTGTGCTACGTATTTTTCAGGAAAATGTAATTGTGCAATTGTGTAAAAATGTATCATACGTGGTCAGATCCTTACTTGAATTCCTGGACATCAAGCACAGAGCATTATCTGTCTTTGTGACAAATAATCTGATTCCATACTCTATCATACATTCCATAATCTATCTATCTAATCCATCTCTCATGTCATATAAACTAGGTACAAGGTACATTACAGGTTTTAATGGAAGTTTTGATTGCCCTCATAGGCAGATATCAACTCCAACAAAAATGAAAATCACGATTTAATGACCCAAGAGGTAAATATTGACACAAGTGTTAAATAATAATCAATCTCATTGCCCTCAGAAATATGAAGTCAATACAGACTGCTGTTACATATATTCTCTGTGCCTTTATCAGGAAAACTCAGAAATCTGTCAACGAAAAGACAAGGATTTCTGAAGAGAAGACATTGGTTCATTTAAAAACAATATTTAGTGCTGATTAGAAAGGAACTTCATGATCTCATTTAAATAGTTTTCTGAGGCATGTATCAGAGACAAAGGGACAGGTGTCAAGAGGTAGGGAAGAACTATGGATCAATTAAAAAAAATGAGGGAGAAAAATATGTGTTCTTGTATAAGCACAGACAGATGGAGTAGATCAACTTCTTCCACCAACTGTTAAGGCAAGTTTTAGCCTAGTATGCTTATTTACTAGTTACACTGTAACTGAGTTTAGCTGCAGCCGGTCAGGAAGTTTAATAATCTAGGAACTGAGTATTTAAATACTTGCAGCTGCTCGGACAAGCTGTACACTGACTGGAGATGCTAAGACACACACACACAGAGGTTCATCCCACAAGTCCTAACTAACTGCACAGCTGTAGCCACAGAACACCCTGAGCTGGACAGGACCTGCAAAAGGATCACCCAGTCCAACTTCTGGCTCCATACAGACCATCCAAAATTCAAACCGTGTATTGAACCTTCCCCTCTTGACCCTCCCCTGAGGCAGCTCAGTGCTGTTCCCTCTGGTCCTGTGGAGTCACTGGAGAGCAGCGCTGAACCCCCGCCGCCATGAGCCTCCCCTCAGCTCCTCTGCCCTAGGCAGAACAAACCAAGGGACTCCAGCAGCTCCTCACACACCTTGCCCTCCAGACCCTTCATCATCTTTGCAGCCATCCTTCAGGCTCTAACAGTTTTACCTTCTTATCTTGTGGCACCAAACCTGCACGTAGCACTGGAGCTGAGACCACAGCAGAGCTGAGCCGCCAGGCCATGTGCACACACAGGGCTTATGCAGCCCTGCACTGCAAGCAACTGCCTGAAACACAGGGAATTATCCCATAAAGGCCCCTTCCAAACAGCTGCATTTATTGGTTCTTTTAATGACGGGCATTTTTCCAGTTAGCGTTCCATCTATGCTTCCAGCAATACAGACATAGATTAGTTTAACCACAGGTACCACCTAGAATTTACTCCTATGAATATCAAAGAAGATTTTATAGCTGTGGTTCTATTTCGAGGCAGAGATCCCAGCTCAACCGGGTATCAATTACCTGCCAATTTACAGAATTACTAACATGCAAGATGCATATATTATTACCTAAAAGATTACTTATCGGAAACCACACAGGGATGATCAGCTGCTCAGATAGCTTTGCTGCCTGATAAGTAGGAGGTCTATAATTCTGCATCTCAAGAAACCTGCCAGTGAGTCCCTAAGTGACAAGTCAGGAATAAGCGTTCCATATTAGTAAAGGATTATAAGAGCCAAGCTCTGTAACACCACTGTTTCATGCCCTGGGATGCATCACTGATTGCCACCCACCTCCACAGGAGAGAAGTCAGCGCTACTGGAAATATTTCCATTCCATTTGTGCATTGCATAGACCTTCATTTTAATTAATTTTCCTGAATATTGCAGTTATTCTCAATGTTTATGACAAACTGTTTTCTTTTATAATACATTCTTCTGCTCTATTTTTATTCTACAGAGCAGCTTAAGCCTCAACATTTAGCCAAGAAAAAACTGTATTTTGTAGTTGCAGCACCCAATGAAGAACTTTTCTGGGGTTATGTCTGAGCAACCACAAGGCAAGCTTGGGACTTACCTACCCATTTTTCTCTACTCTATGTATCTTGTGCAGCTGGGATACTAACACATAGTCAGATTCCAAGTCTTGTGCTCACTGGGGTATGACTCAAGATACACATGCAAATTTTGATCTATTTAAAGTTACATACCAGCATTGAGCATCATAAAGGTAAGGACCTGCTTTCAAACTCAAAAACAATCCCCCTCACAGATTCACTCAATGACTCACAGAATCAGGAAGCTTTTAAAACAAACGAAAAGCAAACAGAAAATGGAAGCAAAAAACTCTGTTGGCAAACAGAACATTTTGAAGTTTCTGTATTTTTTCTCAAAAATCTCCATCTTTCCTCAGTAGCATTGTGAGAGCACCCAACCTGAGTCTCAAGGTAGACACATCTAGCATTGTTGGCTCACGAAAAGCTACATCCTTCCAGTCAGATCTGTTTCCAAGCTTAACACAGAACACCTTTGAAAGCAAACACTGCTTGGTGTTTCCTGGTCCCTGGGAGCTTCTTTCTGTCCCCTCCAAAAGTAACTTGCTCTTCGCTGCAGCTTGATCTCTCTGTATGAGCTACACTTTTCTGTTGCATACTGCAAGGTGCAACTTGCAAACTGTACCATTTCCTCACCACAAATGCTCAAGGGGAAAGCAGCATCTCTTTCCCCCTCAGTCCCAGCTGCTCCCAAGCTCACTCTCTCATACTCCCACTGCTCTCAGTTGGCAAGAAATCCCCCGCAGTGGAGAGCTGCAATACCACAGTACATCCAGCCCCTTTCTTTTACCAGGGTTTCCAGAACCAACAAGAGAAGCAAAAAAAAAAAAAAAAAAAGAAAAAGCACTTAGAAGGCTGTTTTCTATGGCTGAAGTTACCAATTAAAATGGGTTTGGCTTGAAATGCTGTTAACTTTGAAGTTATTTCCTTTTCTCTTTCAAGCATCTTTTGTTTGCTTTGAAGAAACTGCTTGCCCATCCCCAGTATAAATGAAACTAATCCACTCCACAGAAATCATTTGGCTATCAGTGAAATTGGCTTCATGGCATCATGGCAGTGAGTGCAAGGCAGAAGAAACCCAGCTCCCTTCTGTAGTGGGGAAAAGGCATTTGTAAGCATGTAAAAACCAAAATCAATGTACTCTTCAAAGGCAAAGAAAAATCAGTTTACCACGACTGACATACTGCCTGTGAGTGAGAGAGATGATACGATCAATAGTCTTACTTCACTCGGCAGGATGAAAACTTCCACTGGGCTCATGTTCAACTTCATGCATTTGGATATGACAGGGATGGTTCTGATAAATTTAAATTAAAAAGACCCAATAAGATAAGCATGGTAAAACAAAACTGATCAGATGTAGCTCAAAACCCAAATAAAATGTAGGTGAGTAAACTCTCAGCTGCAAGTTGAACTTCCAATAGATTCCTTGGACTACAGAGCTGAACGTCAGGGCTGTTGTTTCGGCCAAAAATAGCATATTTCCACAAAAATTCACTTATAGAAACTCACAGACATTTGCACCTTATCTGAGGATTTTCTCATCAAGACCAGAGGGAACTGTCCATCTTTGGACATTTCCTGCCTAACTGGGGCTATGAGAGGCCAACCTGCCGGTCCATCCGCTTCCATTCCGTTCATCGACATTTGAAACTCTCAGCATTTTTTATCCTGAAGTCTCAGAACTATTCGGTCTACTGAGCACCAAGACAAAGCAGATGAGGATAGATCCCATATATATCCCAGTAGCATCATCCTCATGAACTTCTGGTCGAAGTCGTTCTCTTCTCACTAAAGCAGCAGGGAAGTTCAACCATTTTGAAGACTATCTCCTGTGTTTCTGTGATTGCACAGATTGCTCCAGCCTCAGCTTTTGCATGATCCATGCAGACCACAGAAGACTACAGGCTTCAGCCTTTACAGAATTTCTTCTGTCATTGCCAGAAAGACAGCAAAAACCTACTACCAATATCTAGCTTAGTTGAAGTACTTTGAGGATACTAAGGAGCTTTAAAGAATTTATATTCACACTGCAGGTGTGCAAAGACTCTGAAGTTTGGAGTTGGTTAGAAGATTCAGCAGATAATCCAAGACTTTCAAAAACATTCCTGAAGGATGAAAGTGTAACAGCATAGGATGCTTTCCAAATCTCTCCAGCCATAAAGCAAGGCTGCTCACACAACTGCAATAAGCAACAGAAGATACTGGGAGTTACTCACCAGAGGGGCCCGGCCGATGCTGCGCAGATAATACAGAAGACCTTTGGTGTGGTAAATTGTTGGATGAAGCTGAGAACTGGGCGTCAGCCACTGTCTGTTCAGATCATCTCCACTCAAGGAACAACGGTGGCTGAAATCACAAAGCAACACATCACAAATCCCTGAAAGAAAAGCTGATTCCAAAGAGTTCCTGATTCTGGCAAGACCTGGCACAGTGATGGGGAACGTCAATTAAAATAAAAGATCAAAGATTTTTAACATGGCATTGGAATGAATCAACAGTCAGTACGCTTCAGAGGTGCGTGCCGCATGCAGATTTGATCATTTCCTTTCCTTCCAGAATTCACACAGTTACAGCCCTGAAAATAAATGCAGATTTTCCTTTACCTAAGTACACACACAATCAGGACTACTTACAAACAAAATTATCTTCGGAAATGCTCTAAATTCTGTGCTATCTACAAAACTCACCCAGCTTACATGCAGCAAAGGCTTCTCAAAACCTCCACAGCAAATAAGTACATCCAACTCCTACTCATTCTAATTGAAGACAGGTGCTTGAATCTCTTCGACCAGTCTGAAATATGTATGCACTTAAATGAGATGAGCTGGATATCTCATTTAAGCTCCTCCGCTCATGAGAAATGTAGCTATCTGAAGCACATCAAGAAGATCTTGATGCATGCTACATCATTATGTGGAACAATTACCTAGATTCACTGCAAAGACTGAATAAAAAGCTAAATAAGGATCTTAGATTTGCAGTGAGAAAGTGTTTTCATTAGTTGGCTTGAAAATATTCTGCTCCTGACTCAGTGATCAGTGAAAAATTTTGCAGGATATTTGATTGTAAGGAGCAGTACATCATCGTGCAATTTTGCAACATCTGACTAATTTCCCTCATTAGTGACTGTGTGCACTGCAGAGCCTAACTATTTTAAGTACTGGACAAATTCCTACTACAGAGTTACACCCAGCTTTGCTGTTCCAGCCTAGCAACAGAATAAGTACAGATGTATTCCTGGGGACACAATCTGGTGCTCTTCAGGCAGAATCTTGCGTTAAAATTGGGGTGCATTGCATCCAGCAGTTTTGACATTATCAGTGCCTTGCAAATGATGCTTGCAGAAAAAAGATCTTAAAACGGGAATACTTGAAAAAAAATACTAGATACACTGGAGAACTGGTTAAGAAAGGAAAACAAAGAAACAATAAAATTCACTAAAAATGTCATACGATTTTAATGGAGGAAAACAAGGTCTCTGATGCCATCTTGGGGTTTCTGGCAACATCACAAGACCCATTCTGACTTTCGTTCTAGTGTTACCTGAATTCCCTTCTTTCTTCATAACCCATAGCTGCTACATTGCTCATTCTGAAAGTTGGAAAATATTACCAGTAGCTAAAGCACGAGAAGCCACTGAATGCTTCTACCAAAAATTCCATGTGAAAACATGATCACCTCTGTTATGTTTCTTCATAGCCCTTCAGGCAAAGTTACCTGTAGGTTCACCTCTCCTGACCTGTAGGACATCAGATGCTCAGCTGAGATTTACAAGTGTATTTCTGCTAAGAACTTGTGTACGTACACAACTTCCTTCCAGCGGGTATAACTCCATTTTAAAAGTCACTTAACAAAAAAACACTTTGTAATATGTATATATATATATATATATATATAATTTTTCTTTCAGAACACAAGAACAAATGCATGTTCTTTTAGAAAAGGATGCAAGAAAAAAACTCCTAATCAACTCTACAGCATTGCAGTGCTTCTCACTGCAGCGTCTGGTTCTGCTATGGCCTATGCTCTGGGATGCAGTGCTGGTTCACAAGCACAGCTTCTACACAGGATGCTGACATGTCCATAGCTCACAGCACCCTCACTCTTTGGACAGTCTTCACTCTGCCCATGTTGCAATTTACCAATTCCATAAGTCTGATAAAAAAGGAGGCTCTTCCTAGTGGAGACCCTATGACGGTTCAATTGCCCCATGCCATTCACAGGCAAAGCTGTTATTTACAGCAGGGAAGGAAGGTAAATTCTCAGCAAGCAGGCAAAAACTGGGAGGCAAAGTTCAGTTTTGTTCCTCCAATGATGAACATCTTTGCTCATATAAATGACCTTTAAACATTAGTCCTCTGCCTGGCAGCTTGTAGCCGCAGCTCTGAAGGAGATGCAGAACTTTAATTAAATTATGAGACACTGATTTTTCCAATCTCGCTCTCTCCCTCTGATCATAGTGTTAAAGGCTGTTTATTTTTGGAGATCCCCACCAGCTCTGCTCCCTTGTTCCTTTCCTTCTTCTCTTCCTCTCCTAATGGTGATGACATTCGCAGATAATGGTTTTGTCCGTTATGCTCTGCAGCCAAGGGTGAAGGTAAAATATTAAGCTGATCTCAAGTGCTGATAGCAAATGAAGGGACTGGAAAGCTGAGACTGGCTTTCTACATTTGGCAGGATTTAATGAAATTCACTTCTCAAATCAAAAGGCATTTCTCACAACGTAGTTCCATGCTATTATGTTTGCTTTAAATGCTTTATGTCTTCTCTCCTTTGCAGCATTAGTGAGACTACGTGACAGCCCGGATGGGACTACAAGCGGCTCAAACCAAGTGATGAAAATGTTTGCCACAAGGAATTCCAATACAGTAAAGAAAACCCCACCTCTATCTCTATACAGATTACCCGTAATTAAATTGTATTTCCCTTGCTCACAAGTCTGATGCTTTGGATTGAACTTTTGTTACAGCTCTACTTCCTTTTCTACATTTAAACAGTTTTTCAATGAGGGTCAGCATGTGGGACAGTTGTTAGCTGCCTCTTGGACTATACTGCTTGGCTACCAAAGCACAACAAAAGGAAACTATTTTCTCTTTTGTTCTACATAAGAACTGAAGTGGCTCCATTAAACATTTCAGCCACAACCTTTGAGAGATATGATCCATTAGGGCCACTGCAGAAAGGACCAGTTCCACAATTTGAAGTAGTCTCTGCAAATATCATGTCTCTCCCACCAAGCAAGACCAAACACTTTTGACCTTCTTACTACAAGCAGACTCTAGGGCTGTAACGTTTCTGTGAGTAGCTCTAGAATAACTCAAGAAAACTATGGAGCTGGTAGAAGATAGGATCCTCTAAGCGTAACTAAGCTGTTCTAAAAATGTATGTAGCCAGAAAACACTGCCACAGTGATACACAGCAAAGCATTCAGCACTCACAATTGTCTGAGGAAAGAAATGCTTGGGCAATCTGTCCTTCAGATATACTAGTGCCATGTGTCCCTGGAAAATGAACAAAGTATTCAAGCCCAGACCCTGGAACAAAGATCTGATGGAACACATACAACTCTCCTTTGACTGGCTGTGAGCGCAGAAAATTCAACCACAGGTGAATCTGTTGATGCCTGTTGGCTGCAAATATCATTACACATCATCAGTAATACTCCTGCACCTCTACAAGCCTCACCTCTGAAGATGTATAAAGGTAGGTAGTCATTCAGAACTGCAAATGGGAGAACTACTCTATGAAAACTGGATCCTTAACATCTCCAGTTGATATACACCACAGTCATAAAGATGAGGTTGAGTTTTCTCTTCTGAATCCACAGGCAGTAAACGCACTTCTAAGAAAAGCATTAGGTCTTTCTCTGAAGGCAGGGACACCTCAGAGGGAGTTAATGAGAAATAGGTTAAGTTGCTAAAGCATGGATTTATTCAGTTAAAAACAGAATAACATTTTAAGTCTGTTTGCAACTGAAAGACCTTGCTTTTAATCTTGCACCTCGAAGTTTGACGTGAAGTTTTACTGAACATTTGTCTTCTTTGTTGTCTTACCCTTAGGCCTGCTTGACTTAAGTGCAAAGCAAAAGATCCCAAGCACCTCAGCTTCCAACTTTACTGAATTCTGAAATGTGTTTGGACTGGGAGACACTACCTAAGCTAACCCAAGGCTGATATGGTCAACAGAACTCTTCAGTTGGCTGTGGTAAGACTGGATCAATGCCCTGCATGGAAAGGAAAATGAGAGGGGAAAAAGAGAGAGGGGGGAATACAGAGGGAGGAGAGGAGAAAAAGAAAACAGACACCAG